TCTGGTTTCTCTTAACTTTCTATTTTAATATTCCAATTCTATAAATATATTTTGATATTAGCTATAGAAGTGAAGTAGGTCTTCATAGAACCAAAGTTAATTTCAACTTCTTCGGAATCAGTGGTTGGGACATACATTTGGATTATTTGATGTTAGTTTGCCTTGGATTCTAATTAAGATCATTCTGTCATTTTTGAGATTGTATCCCCATATGCTTTCCTCACTATTCTATTGACTATGAGGGCTACCCCATTTATTCTAAAGGGTTCTTGCCCACAACAGTAGATATAGTGAAATAGATACAGTCTACTTTTGAAATGTCTCTGGGGATGAACAAATCTATCCCAATTACAGTCCTAAGGGCAGAGTTGAGTATATTCAAAGCCATCTAGTAATAGTTTGCAAAGAACAAACTTGCATATTAATAGCAAGACTGCATTCTTTCTATCAAAGGCATTTTTGAAGAGAACAAAATATTTAGATAAAATTGTGGTTAATTGTAGCAGTGATAAATTATTATGAACATGCCCAATTGTCTTTTTTGTATTTATTTGTATATTTGTATTAGTTTTTCTATTTTGATAGTCAAATAACTAAATCACTAAAGATTCTATTCTACTATATTCTATTAAGAATTTCTTCCAGATGGGTTTCATACAATAGAAGATAACCTTTTTAATATAATTCAAAAAATGAAGATATGGAAATAAAATTCAATTTTTAAGGTGAATGTTAATGATACGTATGATAAATTATCATCTAAAGTAGAATAGAATAAAGAAATTAAGAATTCCAGATTGGACATTTGGAATTATTCTTAATTCTGATAATCAGAAATATTTCTGCCAATCCATCAATAGAGATACTGCAATGAACTTGACAAAGATCACTTGAAAAAGAAGAAACAGTGGAATTCTAGGTGCAGCAATCAGACAATCCCCCAAAGTACAAGGATTCAATTAGGAAACAAGAGGTGGATAACAATAATAAAAGAAGCTGAACTTGTAATAACAACAGAAATGGTGGATAAAAAGCATGAAAGGACAGCTTCAGGTGAAGATGAACTTCATGGTTTTGGGTTGAAAAGTCTGATTGATCTACACTTACTCATCACCAAACAATTTAGAATGAACAGAACAGAACAGAGTAAAATTCTTTATTAGCCAAGTGTGATTGGACACACAAGGAATTTGTCTTTGGTGCATATGCTCTCAGTGTACATAAAAAGGGAAAAACCCCAATACATTCATCAAGAATTACTAAATTAATAATTATTAAATTAAGAGGTGAAACCAATTGAAGATTGGTTAACATCTGGTAAAACATACCTGATAATAAAAGATCCACCAAAAGAGGCAACACTAGGCAACTACAGGCCAATTACCTGCTTACCTACAACTTTCAGATTGCTAACTTATGTGGTAGCTGATGCAGTCCAACAGCATCTAGCTACTCAAGCAGAAAGGACACCACACAAACAAACAGCAGAGGAGCAAAAGATCAGCTCCTAATTGGCAAAATGATTTTGGAAAACTGAAAGAGAAGGAAGATCAACTTGAATATAGCATGGATTGATTATGTGAAGATATTTGATTCTCTTTCATGTGATTGGATCATCAAGTGCCTAGTAAATACAGACATCAGAAGCTTTGTGCAAAGATCAATGGCAAAATGAAAGACGAAGTTGTCTTTCATGGAAATGGTAATAGACTAGTAGAGGTTAATATCAAGGAGGATATCTCTCATAGAAATTCACCAGCACCATTATTATTTATTATTGCATTGATTCCTCTGTCAACAGTAGTGAATAAGTCAGACAAACATGAAAAACATTTGTCAGGCTCACTCCTTTACATAGACAATCTGAAGCTGTATAGAAAAATAGTATCTGAAATAGAATCACTGCTCAACATTGACAGCTCATCATGGTGGACTCTTTGGAGGACCCCGATGATAAGCAGCCAGAGCCAGTTCTAGAAGGGCCCACATGCAAAAGCAGCCAGCCCCAGTACAACCAGATGGACTGCCATCTGAGCAGGCAGAGAGATTGGATAGACCAGTAATTAGTAAATAGTTGTCATCATTCTGAAGATGAAGCCATAGAATTACCTAATACAAGAGTCAGCCAGCTGCAAAGTGCATACAATCGAATAGAGTAATATAATAACTGAGCTGGACAGAACCTTGGGGGTCTTCTGCCCAACCCCCTGATCAGGCAGGAAGCCCTATACCATTTCAGATGAAAGGACCCTGCAATACTGCTTGTACAGAATGAGCCCTGTCCTGCTGAATGTGCTACATTTGGGGTTACTTTTATTAAAATGGAGCAGCAAGTACAAGCTGAAGAAACAGTGCACCAACTAGTTAGCTGCTGCAAGAAGATTTTACAGCAATAGTAAAGTAAAAACAAAGTAGCAACAATGGTGCATTGTAATATCTGCAACAAATATAACTTGCCTGTAAATACTGGAGGGACCATAATAAATAAAATAATAGAAAACAAAGAAGCTACAGTGTTCTGGATTTTTAGCATTATAACAGACATTAAAAACTTTGTATAAAAAAAGGCTGCTGCAGTACCTGGAGACAGAAGAAAAAAAGAAAAATACAAAGATCTGTAAATAGAAGCAATCTCAAAATATCTGTAACACTACTTGATCCCCATTGGCACTGAAAAAAATCACCATCAGTTAATTGAAGAAGCATTTTTGATTGGAAAAGTTTACCTTTTATGACAAAACCTTTAACACTATCAGTTATATACAAATAAAAATTATCCTGGAAGCTAGAACAACAAATCCAAGATGAATAAGAAAAATGTATTATAAGACATTTTCAGACTGAATCTGGAAAAGTAACAATTGCCTCAAGTTATATTCTGAATACTATATAGCTCAAAATCCAATAATTGTAAGTTTAACTCAAGGAACTTCCAGATCAAAGAGATGGAGATTTTATGAACTACTATAATTACATAAGGGTATTACAATGTTATCAGGAACTAAATAACTTCTTTCAAATCAATTAAGTTCTGATACTTCATTACGGTATGGGGTACTAGCCAGCTATTTTTGATAGATTTGTTTATCTCTCTGGCATCAGAAAGAAAATAACCACAGAAAAACAGGAGTATATATTACTGAATGATTTGAAGCAATTAGAGTGAACATATAACCCAATGCCTTTCCACATTATGGTCATATGAGGTCCTCTCTTAATGTGTGTGGTCCTGAGTTATGATAGCAACTGCGACTGCCAGGATTGCCTGAACACTACCTATAATGAACCAATAATAAACCAAGGATTATATGTTGAACTTTACAAGATTTAAGTGAGGTGGATTAGCATATTTGAATTCCAAACATGCTAGTTGCCTAACATGTGTTTCAGAACCAATTGTATAGAAGTTGGCTGCTTCTACAGAAGGGGCAAGACTTCCATGTGGTCTGAATCAACTGAAAGCTATTTGTGTAAACAGAAATAAACAATATGTAGAAGTTCATGAATGCCTATGAAAAATAAAAGAAAAGTGTCCAGATTTTATCAGACCTCCCAAGTTGTTCTTAAATGTCTACTTCAATGAAGAGGCAAAAACTAAAAAAAATATTCAGTGGAAAGTTAATAATTCAATAGATTGTAAACTTGAATTATTAATAAGAGAATGATGAAATATTTTGAAAGTTTTGTTTTAGAATAATCTAGTTTACATGGTTGATTTCAGTACCTTCAAATAAGTAGAAATGCACTAAAGCAATTATAGAAACAAGAGGGAATATTGAGAGACTTGACTTAATTCAAAAACCTCATAATATATCATTTTGAACATGAGTTAGCCTTGATTCACAAATTATTGGTGGTAAAACTCATAATTCAAACAAATAAAAGATCGCATGATTAAATGTGTGGAGAATTTGAATGTAGTAATAGAGATGCAATAATTGGATTTTTAATATAAGATTAAATTTATTATGAATAATAGAGACAAATGGGTTCTTTTACCATTGAAACATCACTTCACTTTTACATACATTAATGTATGCAGAATTAGCTCTGTATAAGTTAGCTGTTTCATTAGTATTACATGTTTCTTATTGGAAAATTCTTTCTTTGAAAGAATAGTTTACTAAGTTGCAGGACTATGCTTTAACCTCCAAAATAACATTTTATCTTAAAAGTAAATCTATCATGGAATTTAATACAAAGTGGAAACCATTCCAGGACTACAGTTCAATATGTGGATTTGTATCATACCTTAACTTTTTCAATGTATAGTCTACATTTCAATTTAATGGGATATTTAAATCAGAAAAGATTTTCAGACTCAGGCTATTATAGCTTACAGATTTATTGGGTGATTTATCTATGTGTAAAGCCTTAATTTCTTAAAGCATTATAATATATTCATGATTAATGATATACTAGAGGTATATACTACCAAAATGTTTTATATTTTATTTACTCACTTGTGCTTTTTAATTCACTTTATTTGAGGTTTTTTTTGTTGTTTTGCTTATCTCTTTAAAATGTTTGTCACTAAAATGTTTAATATCCTTTTATTTTTTAAAAAGGAAGAGAAATATCCTTTTTTAAATAAATATGGCAATGTGGTAAACAAATAACAAATAAGAAGTCAGAACCCATTACCATCAAATGAATGAATGATTGAATAAATGAATGAATTTACCTATGTCCTTTAAAAATCCTATAGCAATAAATGCAATTTATCAAAAATGGCCTCAAGGTCTCTAGGATATTCCAACATGCCTAAAATGTCCTTATTTTTTTCCTTCCTTTTAATCATACATAATTCTTGGAGTCTAACTGGACAAGTCCCTACAGTTTTCTCGTGTTACTCTTACTAACAAGAGACTCACATACTCTGGCTGATGAAAATAAGAAATGTGGTCCCCAAAATATACAGAGTATACATATTATTACAGCTGTACAGCTGTATTACAATACAATAGGGAACAGCTTTTCCCTCCCTCTTATTCTGTTACCTGCCAATGGCCTTGCCTAACGGCACTGAATAAAGGAACAATCCCTCGTCGGTTGGGCTGGGCTACAGCTGCTCCTTGCTCTAGAAGCAGACGGCAAACATCCAACTTGCCTCTTCCTGCTGCAGCAGTTAGAGCTGAAGAGATAAAAGACTGATTAGAAAAAATGATTACAGACTCTCAATCTACTTTAAGAAGAACAGAAATTGAAAAAAGAAGGAAAGAAAGGAAAATGGGAATGGATTCTGGATATAGTTTCCAAAACTTTTCGAAGACTAGCTTGTTAGAAGCAACTTCTGGAGAATGAGTAATACTTCTTACTTTAATACATGTATTTAGTTTTCTCCCTTTGCAAGAATTTCCATTCCTTGGCACTGCTGATATTAAAGAGTTCTTCAGTTCTGCTACATGTAGAACTCTAGGTAATTTGCTAATTTGTATATGTACATAAAAATACTTCTAGATTGGAATTAGAGGTCATTTGTTGGAGCAAACAGAAAAAAGTTATTTTTCTATAGCCTTAAAAGCTAATAAGATTATGTTATTTTATCCATAAAATAGTTTCAAAAGTAAGATAATTCTTTGTTTTTAAACATTCCCAAAACTTTTCTCCTATATATGTTAGAATACAATGTAGTTTCTAAGATATAAAATTATGAGATATAAAGGAACACTGCATGATAATTTTATCATCCCCTCAAAAATGAATCTATTTCTCGTAGTATTGACAATTCAATGCAGGATTATTGATGAACAATTTCAATAAAGTGAGATCTACCGCACTAAACAATTGATATGCACTTCAATTTCTTGTCTCAAAAAGGGGTATTTATTTACTTATGGTGATTTTATGTCACAGGGGAGCTTAAAAATGTTTTTTAAAAGAAGGACAAATTCAACTGATAGTGCTGAGGAGCTATTATAATTCCTGGATTTTCTTTCAAACTTAACTGCATGACAAGCTGCACTTGATAACTAAAATGTATTTCATTTTTAACATCTGAATCAAAATTCAAATAATAATTTACTTAAATACATATATCATTATAGGACACAAAACGTGTCAGGATTGAAATATGCTGACCACAAAATGTCCCAGTCCAAATTCACTGGGCATGTTTTAACATCAGAATAGTCTGTTCCTTTCTGATACGAAATACTTTGACTTCAGAACAATCTGCTATGACCTTGGAAAATTTTGTACATCTGTTTTCTATTGCACACAAACTGGGATCAAACCAAAGAACATATCTAGACATGAATCTAAATTCATAGAGCTGAAAAAAAAGTATAAAATGTGGAAGAATCCCATCCTTTTGTTCTCTTCAAAGTCAGAATACTGCTGCTTTAAAAAGCTAGAGTTTTGTATGTTTAATTTGGAAACTGTTTTTGATAATTTGTATTTTTGAAACTTGAAGAAATACATATATACTATATATGTACAGTAGTTATATATGCAGGATCTTAAATAATGCAAATGACAATTTCTTTTATTTTACAGGTAGTTCTAAGAGAGTACAATAGGACATGTAATAGTTCTGCTATTAGGTGTCATCTCACCTAATGACTTACTGACTGCTTCACACCATCAAGATTCCAGTTCCAATTGTGGTTGTAAGTCAAGGACTACCTGTAAGCCTCCCTAGTTTTGGAGCATCAAGTAGCCAGTGTAAAGAAAATATTGGAACTTAAGCTGAAGAGACTAAAGAAACACCTGGAAAATTTAGCTGTTGGTAGTGCAATCATAGCTAGTAAGAATTTATAGCCAGTCATACAATCAACTAACCCAGTGGAGGGGAAAAATAAAGAAAGCTAGAGACAGAAGAGAGCCAAGAAAAGATGATGAGAGAAGCCTTGTTAACAATGAAAACAAATTTTCAATGTCCCTCTCCCTGGAATAACTAAGCCTCCCCTCATCATAAATTCCCCTGTCCATATTATCATTACCCTTTCTTCCATCTCTAATACCCTCAGCTACTAGACACCCCACTCTCCTGATTATCCAATACTAGACACAAAACCCACCTCACAGTCAGATGGTTGTAATAAATCTTGCCAATCCTCATTTAATTTTCCCACATCTAAGCAGTAGAACAACTACTATGATATGTGGGGATTCTCAGTTTATGTAACAGTGATGGGTAGATTTTTACCTGGAATCTTGAACATTCCCAGGTTCAGAGTTATATAGATTTTAGGAAGTGCAGCATACTTCCTGAGGGTTAACATCAATTTTGCTAGTCTATTTGTATTAAATAGGGGCAATTCCTTTTTTTTAGTAATAAGACTAATACTTCTGCAGCATTAAAGGCTGCAGTGCTAAGATGGCAGTAAAATTTTGATATCTGTTGACGTGATAAGCTTATTCTTTGGAATAATTCTAGTTTGGAGGTAAAACTTTTTAAAATTCATAGTCCAACAGAGGTATAATATTTTCAATCAGCTTATGACAAATTTCTAGGTTATTGTAACAGAATTTGGACTGGTAAAAATTAAATATCAATATATCCAATTAAAACATCTTTTGATTTCATTATTAGCAAGCACCCTGAATCACTATCAGTATTAAAGTACATTTGGATAATTCCAAATCTACAATGGGTGTATAGAATTCAAAGAAATATTATTGTCTATGACAAGTTGAAATGAAGTTAGTTATTTAAAATATTTGGAAACAAAAAGATGATTATACTTATTTTAACAAACCTATTGTTAAGAGTATTAAATTGTCTTAAATGTGAGTTTAAGGTGAAATTGATTAAATAATTTTTTTAAAATCTATATAGAATGTTGAAAATGGATCAGCTCTCAAGAGCATTATTCTGAAAATATAAAATAAGAGACATAATGTGGGTTTATTCCATAATAATTTAATTTCCATGCTTTTCTTAATATGGTTTTGCAAAGAATAATATATAATAAAAGTGTAAATGTGATTTTGAATTGTATGCTAACATTTTGGAATGTATCAATATGAAAAATTATAGATTTAATTAGCATGGATTAAAATAATATATAAATTACTGGGCACTTTAATGCTGTATTTTAAGTGAGGTTTTTTTTTAAATTATCTGCAGAATAATTAAAAAGTGTGTCTGCAGGATTGAAAGCTTTTAATCAAAATGACAAAAACAGTGTTGCACTGTCGTGATGCAAGCCACCCCTTTTATACATATAAGCAATGAATAGGATTTTCATAATTTGCTTCTTTAGTATACACTGAATTATATAATCTATTGTGTTTTCTGCCCTTTTTCTCTTGTTTTCTTCTTTGGATTCTTTGGATTGTTTCCCCCCCCCCCTTTTAAAATACTAAAGCAAAGAGAAAAAAAAGAAAAATGAAATTATGTTTAGCCAGTGGGTGCACATACCACAATATAATACTAAAACTATGGAAGAAATCCAGGACTGGAGTATTTCATGTTTTTTCAAGTTTTTAAAAATGCTTTATAAACTGATGTACATTTGTGCAGGACCATAGCATTAAAACAAACAAACACACATACAGACATACCCTATTATTCATATATTACAATCATGTAAGTATAAACTATGAACTAGGCTTAAAGTGGTTGATCAATTATCCCTACTTTCAATAGAAAATATGTGAAGAAACTAGAAATATCCTGCCTGCAAATCCCTAACCTCATTTTAAGTTAATGGTAAAATGAGAGGGGAAAGGCTCTGTCATTTAAAAGCACTCCCACTGATAAGAATTAATAATGCCAGATAGGAATGTAAATGAATCTATAATAACTGGGAAATACAATAAATCATTTAAGTGAAATGGGTGATATAGAAATATGATAAATGAATGAATAAATAAAATAATATATCCGCAAAAGAGGTCTGGTGAAAATAAAATTTATTGAGATAGAAACAATGAAAGCTGCCATTTTCAATGTTCTGACAATTCTTTGTGGAAAGCTTTTTGCTGCCTGTCTGACTCCCTTTAGAATCCAGTCTCCTGTGGTTTGCTGCATGTTTGTGTTGTTGCTTTTTCTTTTGAGCTGAACTTTTTCTTCAGTCCTTAAGACAAACAAGCTGCAAAAAGCTTATCTTTGCTTGTTTCGTTCATTTCCTACAGTATTCTTCAGCCTGGCAGTCACTCAAGGTAAGTAACATACAAATATTGTCACCCTCTTTTCAGGTATGCAGTAAATTTAACAAACTAAGTTGTTAAAAAGGATTGAGATTGAAGGGCAGAGGCAGAGAGCTTAGTTTCAGCATCTAAAAAGGAGGACAGGGAAGAGCAATACATTTGTGCTTCCAAGCTTTTTTTTGTTTTCTTTATTGAAGAAATGTTGCTTTCTGGGGAAGGAGGGGATTAAGCAAGGGAAAGTTCATCCTGAAGCTGCCACATTTGAATCCAGGTGGCTGACTTCTCCAAAGCCTAAGAAGAGCCAGGAGTAGTTTGCAATTTCCTGAGAGCAACCTCCAGTATGATTTCATTGGATGAGCATGGAAGCTTATTTGGAAGTCTCTCTGGTATTGGAATGCAAATCTGGGACCTAATCTAGTTGTGTTCTTTCCCCCACTCGACTATTTTTGGCTTTGCAAAACTTTTTGCTGCTTGTTTGCCTCCTTTATGGACCCTCCCAGGGTCTCCCCACCCATGAAATATCCCATGCTCACTAAACAGGCCTCACATTAGCTTAGTGGTGGAGCTAGATCAGAGAGAGTAAGTGATAGGTGTCATTACGCAAGGCTGTCTCACTTAATGGTTGTCACCATTTGCAACTATAATAGGCAGGCTCCCTTACATTTGTAGGTTGAGGATTATTTGTATATCTATGTGACTACACTATGAGTTAGAATATTATACCAGAATAAGATTCATCTTTTTTATACAACTGAATGGTTACAGAAAAAGACTAAAAATTAAAGTACATCTTCTTAAATCAACATATTTAAAAGTTTTTAGAAATATTACTGATTAGAAAATCAATCTAACAGAAAAAATAATATTTATTTAATAGAGCTATCTATATCTGAATGAATCCTAAGGATACTAGTTTTCCAATGTATTGGATAATGTTTATGAAATTTGAACATATACTATTTAATTAATATCTTAGCTATCTAATTAACTGGCAAACAAATGAAAACCTGTATTTCCTAATTCATGTGGCACTCCCAAAATTAAGAAAATTAGGGAAGCAATTTTGGCACTGCAAAGACTTCCCACAGATCAAATCTTTGAATAAATCCACTATGTACCCAAGAGCTATGAACATTCTAGCTAAAAAAGTTACCTGTCTCTCCCCAAAGGCTGTCAAAACTGTTGATTTGTGCTCGCTCCACCTCCTCTTCATCTTTTTCTGGGAGATCAAGCAGGTAGGACACAATCTAAAAACCAAGAATCTTGTCAGTTCATGAAAGATGGTCGCGGGTGTGCACCCCCCATCCAAAACAACACATAAATCAAATTACTTGGCACCATTAAAATAATTGTCTTTATGAGACAAATGCACTTTCTACACTCAGTGGAACAATGTAAAAACTAAAAGGTTAGCATAATACTTTCTTGATCTACTTTCTTGATCTACTGAAATGAAGTATGATATTTACTATTCTGGCTAACATTATGTTCAGTTTGGTTAATATGGTAACATAACTTTTCCTGGGAAGATATTGATGCAATTATCTATGTTTTAGTTAACAATGGGGGAATCTTACTTGAGGGTGAGTGGGTGTCCTAAAGCTATTTCTTGAGAGGCATACTGGATTGGACTCCAAAAAGGAAAATGAGGCCAAGACAAAGAAGTGGATGGGCACCAAATCACAAATAAACATAATATTAAATTAAACTTTAAATCAGAAGTTCTCATTAGCAAATTAATCTCTTGTATCTTAGTCATGAGTGATCAATTCGAACTTCTGGTTAAAGACATGCAACTAGGATTTTTCCATCTATTTCAAAGATACAGAAGGAAAGGCTGACAGCCAGACAGTGAGCCTGACAAAATGAAGCTTCTCTAGACAAGGAAAAAGCTGTGAAATTGCTCACTTGAGATCTTTGTGAGGAAAGGAGGATCCAGAGGGTTCTTATAGGCAAATAAGAGTCCAAGGAGAAAACAACTTGCTCAATTAAAGCTTGTTTAAAAGACAAGGTTTGTCTAATCTATTTTCTAAAACACTTTTGGATGGAGAAAATTTAAAGTGTAAAGAGACTGAGAGCCCAAAGCCATGTGGGTGAATGTACCAGAGGTGGATTGCTCCCAATTCGGCCTGGATCAGGCGAACCGGTAGTGGTGGTGGCGGGAGGCTGCGCCCACCTGCCCAGGAGCATGCCCAAACCAATCGTAAAAAAATTGGCAAACCACCACTGGAAAGTTCCTTTTATCCTGGGAAAAATTAAAGAAAACTAAGGATATAAAGACTTTTAAAAGAACTAAAAGCAAAAGGCTTGCTGGGAGTTTGGAATGCAAAAGTTAAAAATGGACTAAAGGGACGGTTAATTTTGAAGTATTGCCTTATTTAAAGTATTTTAAATTAAATAAATAATATGCAACTCCGTGGAAAAGGGAATTATTTAAAATTTCTAAGAAGAATGATATTTTAATCATTCTGCTAAATAAAGACTAAGTAGAAAAGGGAAACAGAAAGATCATGTAGTGTGTCAAAAAGAATTAAAGAGTGACAGAAGGGGGAAAAGGCTCTTTTTAATTTTTGTTTCTTTTTTCTGGATTACAAATTAGGGGGAAACTGCCTACTATTAGAAAAACAGCAAAAGATGAAGAAAGTATTAAAGGATCAGAAACTCAACAAACAGAAATAAGGGATTATGCCAGTCTTTATAAAGGAAGTTTGAAGAATTAGGGGGGAATGTACAGCATCAGTAATTGTATCTTGTCTGCATCAATTAAAAGAGATCTGGCTACTATCAGAGAATGGAGGAAAATGTACAAAAATGCAAGAAAACATGTATAAAAAACTTGAAGAATCTGTATTATAGATGAACTATGAGGTAAGTAAATTTGATGATTCTGAAGAATATATTTTTTTGAAAGTCACAGATCTTTTTCAAAAATAGACATGTTCTGGATTTCTAATAAATGTGCTATCTACTAATAAAGTGAAGATATTACCAAAATCTTTTAAAGATCAGTGACTTTAATATATAACAGCAAAGGCAGAATTTTCAGATAGGGGCTAAATGAAACTTTGTACAAAAAGAATCAATAATTGAGGTACTGTAGATAACTTGAAATGCTTTGAAATTAAATAAAGGCATAGACATAAACATAGTTTGGATTGCAATTAAAGCATTTATGAAAGGATAACTTATACAGCAAAATGTTAAAATAATGGGAGATAAAAATGAAAATGGAAGAATTAAAGTGATCTTCAAAAAGGAAAAATGTCTCATATCAAATTAAAGTTTTACAATGCCAGGTTTGCATTGCATGGGTTTTTATCGTACAATAAAGTTAATGTAGATTTCAAAAATAATTATGTGAGAAATACCACATTAAGATTATGGAATAAATATAAACTCAGGTTGCATCCAAAGATACCTTTATGTTCTCAGCACTGAAAGCATTTTATAATAAACAGCAGGCAAAGAAAAATGGTTAAGATATTACAACTTATTAATAAAGGAAGAGAAAAGTTCAAGTTGAAATCAAGAGAACATTGCAGAGGGATTTCGTTTTCAATAGTTTTCATATGCATAATTAAGATAAAGATTTAATGAAGGCATATAGTTGTAGGGATTGAATAATACAAGATAGAACTTGAAAATTGACTTATGTACAAATAATGAACATCTGACTGCAAAAAGTATATATTTTTGTTGAAATTTGAAATTGAAGAGGAACAAGTGAAAGACTACATGATAAAATAGGCAAGAATTTTAGCTACAACGTACAAATAGATTAATGGAAAAGCATGTGCCTAAAGGAACTGAAATTAATGTTGTGTTAAAGGGGAACTTTTACAAAATGATATATTGTTGATATATGACACTAGAGAAATTATCTAATAGGCATAAAAGTACTTCTAATCAATGTTGAAATTGTAATAAACATGAAGGAACATTTTACCACACATGATAGAATTGTGAAAATAAAAAAAATGATAAAAAGAATTTTGAAGATTAATATTGAATTGAAACCAGAACTTTTTTATTGGTACACACACACACTACAGTAGGACGAAGCAGAAGGCACCAGCCTGAAGATGGCGAGTGGGACCTCGTCAAAACATCGCCAAGATACTCTCAATCTTACACGGGAAAAGACCCGAATATGCCAAGACCTGCATACCTGTACCCGTGAAAATCTACAAAAACACACACACAAACACAGGGCTTTTATAGCCTTTTTAAATTGAAAATGGAAGAAAGTGAAATTGTGGTTTCTAGTTTTAATGATTGAAAAAAACAGACTGAATAAGAGTCTGAAGGAATTATTGTATAATTAAGGTGGAAAGTGGAATAATGAATTAATTTGTAACTTTTGTGAAGAGGACTGGAAATCATTTCTATTTCTTCTTCCCCTCTTTAATTTTATTCTTTTCTGCAATTTTCCCATCTCCTTTTCTTTCTTTTCTTTGTACTTTTCTGTATTAATCTTTTATTTATATAAAATATTTATTAAAAATTGATTTTAAAAGAGAGAATGTGTCTGTCAATATTTAAAATACTGACTTTTAAAGCTCTATATATCATGGTTGCTCAACTTTTTGGCTCGCCTGTGCTGTACTGAGTGAAGATGAATTGACTTGAGCCACATGTAAAATATATAATACAGTTAATGTATATAAATAACAAAAGCCTTGTTTTTTATATATATATATATTGTTATTTTGGGAGGCCATATGCCATTTGTCCAGGGCCACATGTGGCCATGCACTGTGTGTTGACATATATTCCTTATATAGTCCAGTACCAGGATCTTAAAATTTGATCATTTTGACCACAACACTTTTTTCTTGATGTCTCCTGTAGCAAAGTGGTCATTATCTAATTGCTAAACTTAAAGTTGATGTTAATTCACACAGACAGACTTCCAGGATGATCTATCTTCAGGTCTTCAAATGTTGCATCCACTGCCCTGTAATTGATTTTCCCATTTTTGCTACTGGTCAGTGGTCACCCTTTTCTCTTTTCTTCTAAATGAACCTAGTCATTTGTGTCTTAAATGAAAACTCTGGATTGATTTGTTATATGGTCAATTTGGGGTTTTTTCCTTGGCTATTCATAGTATTCTCAGAAGCCTTCACTAACTCCAAAATGCAAACCAACGCTAGTTGTCTCCTATTCTGCTTTTTCAAATCCAATGTTGGTTTTCAGAGTGTCACAACAAAACCTATTGCTTGCATGATTTTGATGTTTGTAAGCATAGACACAACATTGTATCTGAGTATCATTTTAAGACCCTAACTAGTACACTATTAAGTGCTAGTCTTTGGTGTACTTCTTGATTGCTATTTCTTTTACTGTTGATAGACAATCCTAAAAGACAGGCAATGTCCACACTTCAATTATATTCATTGTCAATTTTAAAGTTGGTTGTGGGATCTGTTGTCATTAGTTTGTTCTTCTTTATATTTAATCTTATTCCCGTTTTTTTCCTTTTCTTAACTCTCATTACTAGAACTTTTTAACTAGTCAATCAATCAGATTCAGAAAATGCCAATCTTCCTCTGTGACTAAAACATAAAAGCAGAATATAAAATTTAAAACAGAGGAAGATCAATTGCATTTTTATCATTTTTAAAGTAATGTTATCAACATAGTTTAAGTTATCAATGTTTCTTCATCCAGTTTTAAAACTATGCGCATCATATTTCAATCTACCTGAATAGTGGCAATTATTTAACTTATTTCAAACTTCGATAAAGAGTTATTAACCAGGATCTTGAATAAATATATCTAATTTGAAGGCTACCTAGCCATTCAGCAAGACTATGTAACAGTTTACCTCAGTATATCCCATGCTAGCAGCAGCAATGAGTGCTTGTTGGATGGCCTGGCTTTTTTTGAACACTCCTTGTAGCTGTCCAGCCATTGTCCAGTCACACTGAATCAAAAATTTGACAACCTCCAGGTGGCCTCTAAGAGCTGCATGTACCAATGCACATTGACCATTCTTGTCCAAGTGATCCACCTTGGCAACAAAAGGAAAACCACAATTAAAATTAAAATGTTTCAGTAACTATCATTACAATGCAATATTCCTATATAAATATTTCTACTATGTTTCTCTGGCCAAATATATGCAGAATTAGGTAGAATAAAATGAGGTGTCCTTTGAAAACAGTTGTTCTATAATATAAGTAGTCCTTGACCTATAGTCATTCATTTAGCAAATGTTCAAAGTTACAATACCAAATGATGGCTATGCCCTGTCGTTGGAAGTTTGGCGTCCCAACATCACTATGGACATATGGTTGTGATCTGTGTGTTTATCAACAGGTTTGCACTTATAGCTGCACTTCACCCTCACTCCCATCCTGTCCCCAACTTGCGCTAAACTCTTGCACCCTTCTTGATTCCCTATTCATCCCCACACCTTTGCACACTTTTCTTGACTCACCTCTTATGCAGCTCCTTGTGCATCCTCCCTTTCCCTCTTCCTCTCCCCATCTACCATCACTCTTATCATCACCAGCAGCTACTTATCTGTTTCGCAGTGTAGGACTTACAGCTTGTTGCTGGCTTTCCCATGAACTTTGGTTGTTGGAAACTGGCAGAAAGTTGCCTTGTCAAACAACTGTGGGATTTGGTTAATGACAACAATTGAAACTGCAAGGGATTGCCATCGCTAAGTAGGTGGTGATATTTTACAACCGCATCATTTATCGATGGGAATCCCAGTCCCAACTGATATTGTAAGCTGACTGATAGTAAAATTATTTACAAGCCACCCTAATAATTCTATGGATTTTAGCTAGTGATGAAAATGAAATCCAAACTCTAACATTTTCCTTTTGTTTCTTATGTTTAGTGTTAGGTAGCAGTTGCCTTCTGAAATATTGACAATTCTAGCTCCCAGTGCATCCACTTCACCATCTTCTTCTTCACATTCTCCATTCCCATCCTCTCTGTTTGATTGGAAGAATCAGGAAATACCCCTTAGATGGGTGGCATTTCCCCTCTCATTCTCTGTCTCCCATCACAGAAAGTTCTTCTTTCTAATAGAACAAGTTGCAAAAATGGATAGTGTTCTTCCTTCCACTAATTCATTTTCATCCCTGCTAAGACCCTGCTTCAACCAGAGCCAGTTAAGATACCTATTACTTCAGATCTTCCTTTCCAGCAATAAAGTCTTCTCTAGTCTGCAAATCTGAGAAGTAATTGGCGAGTCACTATGCTACTCTTTCCTGCTCACCCATGTTCAGCCTCTCCTGCTTCATCAAAGTCCCCCTACTTCAGTAATAGCTGGGATCACAAATAGTTATGGCTTCTGTGTAAGCATAGGGAGCAGGGTATATGCATAGCAATCATGGCCACCCAAGTATACACCGACTGTCCTTTCCAATAAATCAATGTTCAAATTGCCTCTCCTGAGTCAAGACTCTAAAATACACTCCTCCCCATTTATTAAGATTGGAAGAGGCAGTAGAGCTGATGTGTGCATGATAATGGGTATATCTGAATCATTATCGAATGATTACAAATTGAGTATTGTTAGCGTGTAAGAAAACTGCAAGTAAAGGCCATTTCACTGTGTCACTATGAAAAATTAACCAATAAGCATAGCCCAGCTTCTTGATAATTCTTAAGAGGGTAGATGGTTGATAGAAAACCCCAATCTATTATTTTATTACATTGGTGGAGGGAGCCCATCCTGATGTTGACAGTTATGAAAGTATTGATAGGAATATTTAGTTCAGTATATTGTAATTTTTGAAGGAGTGACCTGCCTAAAACTCCTGAAGGAAGCTTCTGGTATTCAAAAGCAGAAGATACTCAGAAACACACACACCCGCCGATGGTAACTATAAGTGAATTCAAAGATGGCAGCTGATGGGAGACCTGAATTAAAAGTACATTCTCTCATATATTGAATGAGGGAAACAAATAAATAAATTGTTCTAATGTAGAATTTACTCTTTTATTCTTCTGAATTAATTATGAAGGATTTACCAAGAACAGATTGAATACAACATCCCAGCTGTTGAAATAAGTTCCACTAAATATGTGCCATGATTATGGTCCCATCAAAAATCAAGTGGTTTAGCTCTAAAATTTGATCAGTTATAAAGTCAATTAAAAATGTATCCCAAGGTCGAAACAGGTTGCCATAATCTAATTATTTTAAAAAATCTCCTTTTTGTTGTACTTCTGGGCTGGATTGACTGGAGTTGGATTTTTGCATTGAAGTTGGTGCTGTTTTTGGCATTTGCCCCCCCCCCCCAATGAAAACCCAGTCCCAATCTGGCCCACAAACAGCTTTTTTATATGCTGTAGTTTTAGGGCTCCTCTTTTCATAGGAAAAGCCTACCCAAGCCTGACCCAGCAGCCTGGCTAGGCATGCCTCATTAGCAGTGGGAACAACAAGCCAGTAAAGGTCCAGGGCGACAGAGGCTTTCCAAATGGTAAAGGTCACTGACTGTGATTGAGCTGGAGTGACTGCAACTTTCCAGAGCATGGCAAGCAGCCCAAGAACCATGCAATCAGGGGTTGTTTGCTGCCTTGCAAGGCAGGGTGTTAGATGACGAAAAGGACAGAAATGTGGAGTAAGTAGGTGAGGTGAGAAGAGTTGGACACAATCCCTTACTTCAGGGCTAGGAGGGATCAAGCCCAGAATGGCTTAGTTTGGAATTGGTACATTTAAGGACCTGTGATTCTTGGTCAATGGCAGCAACTGGGACTGCTGAGACTATTGTTGCTAAGTGATGTGGTCATTTAAATATACAAATCATGCTTTGTATCAGAAATTCTGACCCCAAATATGGTTGTAAATTGAGGACTCTCTATTTGACATGTTCTGATGCACTAATCAGTACATCTTTACATGTTTTATATTATATTTCAGAGGCATGTCATAATTGAATTGTACACCCTTTAATTTTGGTGGTGAAACAATCAGTGCTCCCACACTAGCCAATCTTGATTTTGCAGTCACCTGTCTGGTATTTTGGCTTGCTGATATGAAAGTCCTCAGTCTCATGGAAGTTTGTATTTTCTTTACTTGAAAGGTAGTAAATTTAGTTTGGATTTGTCGTATTTGTCTTGCAATGATGCAGGTACCTACTACAAATATACCTTCTGCTATCTCTTCTGCTATGTAGTCTGCAGTAGTGACATGTTTTGTTGAACCTGCTGGGCTAAATTATTCAAGTTCTGGATTAACTGGTTGAATTGAGTAGCTGTTTTACATATATGTTGAAACAATGTCTTAACTGGGCAGTAGTTATTGTTCTGAATCCCAAATGTGTATGTGGCAGTATTCCTCTCACTGATGCAGAAGTGTAGAAAGGAAAATCAAGCTATTTATCAGACTCAAACTCAATAAAAGCAATCTAGGCACTTGGTGTAATATGATTAATTAAATATTTTGATTTGTCAAACACCTGAAGACACTTGAATGCCCTCTGCCAAAATGAGGGTGCAGTCTTTCCTTATACCAGAGTTTAACCCTGGCACTCCTTTTTTCTATTTTTTCCTCTTCTTTGCTTGAATTTCTCATGCATAATGTGAGGTACTAGTACATTGTTGACATATTCTACATTCCTATCTTGGGAAATACTAGTTTCCAATGTACTGTGTTTTTTACATATGCAATTCACCAGAGTATTGTACAGATTGTATTTCAGTTTAGATCTTCAGCTTTTTCAAAGAGCTGGAAAAGTTTATAATACCACTTCATACAAATAATGCTGAGATCTTCTCATCCATTCAATCAGCCACTTGCTCTATAACAGCATGTCACATCCTGCTACTCATCCTGAACTGAAATAAATATTTTTCTTATGATTGCAAGATTATCAAATATACCCACAAAAATACAGCAGTTTTAAATGATTGTTAATAGATATATCATGTATGCCCATGCCTGCTCCATAGCACCTTTTCAGATTCAACTATGAAATGCACATCCCTAATATCTAAATATTTTATTCTTCCACTAGTTATTTAATCAGAAAAATATAGTCACTTATCTGTTTCAAATAAATTAAAGAGCAATTCTACCATATCACACCCCAACCCCACTTTAGTGTTCTAGATAGCTATGCCAACTTAGCAGTCACCCATTCCAACTCCTTCATCACCTTGGCTCTCTTCTTGCATAAAAGTGCCACAATGCTTAAATATCCAGCAGCAGCAGCATAACCAAGAGATGTTAAGCCACTTTCAGAAGAAGAATCAACGTTTGCTCCAAACTCCAACAACAAGGCCACCATCTCAGAGTAACCAAGGTGAGACTGGACACACAAAATTGGGGCATTGTTTAGCACTTCAGTCCTGTAATTGATATTGGCACCTCCCAAGATCAGCAGACGACTGACCTATGCAACAAGAAACAGAGTAGTAATATATTAGAGCAATATTCTCCAGATTTCTAATACCTGAGAAAATTTGATTTTCTGAATTGAAAATTCAATGTTTTTGGTACCAACTCTCCCCAGAGTTGATGTTCAATTGGATAGCAATTCTTTGGAAAACTAGAATGAGAAGAATAGAGATGAATATAATGAATGATTACTCACTATTATAGCTACAATCCTTTGAATAATTATCTATACATTTAATTTAATTCATTTGATTTAGGTGCCATCCAACTCCAAAGGGCACTGGGGCCTCACAATACAACAAAAGAAAAAATACAATATAATACATAGTGTATCTGGACATAAGTAAACTCAGAAGGGGCTTTAAACATCTTAGCCCAAGACTCCAGATTGTAGCCTGAGCTGTGCCTAATCACATGTTATACATGGAGAATGGGAGTCTAACGAAAAATTCTGTGGACTGTAGAAAGTCCTGAATAGGTTCTACCTAAGTCTGATCAATTTTAGCTTAAGATTATATTCTTCTCATCTTATGTGGAAAATTTACAAAAAGCCAAATAAAAGTTCAAAAAATATTCTCTCATTCTTTCTGCTCCTAGTTTAAGCTTTGCATAGGAAATTAATTAGGAAAAGTGAAACAATAACATGCACCAGTTACAGCTGCTCCAGAATGCAATTGTGCATAATCTCCATTGGTTGCCAATCTGCTTCCAGCCTAAAAGTTTAATAAAATTAATATATGACTAAATGATTCCCATTAGATTGATTTAGTCAGATTTTAGATAGAATTCTGTGCAGGTGTATAACTCATATGATGTGTATGAACAATAAATTTCAAGAACTGCTAGATCTTTATAAAGAAAGAGATAGAAAATGTTTTTAAAATATTACTGCTGGCAAAGAAAGAAAGGGACAAATAGTATTCTAGCCTTCTTGAATATATACATTCATGGGTTATCCTTCCCACTAAAATATCTTAGCCACAGATTTATTTAAAAAAACCCAAAACAATAATAGAAGGGGTGCAAGTGTAAAATTGATTATGTATGATAGGTACACATTGGGATAAAGAGTAAAAATTTAAAGAATCTGTGAAGATTTTTTAGAATTTTCATATATTATTTCTTAAAAATCCACACAAAAAGTTACAGAATGGACTTGGTTGAGAACAACTTTAGGAACAGGATGGAGAGAATATACCGACTTGTCCATTCTTCTTTGTTTTGCTTATTATTTGCATGCCTTCTAAAATTCTTGATGAATTGTAAAGAAATATTATTTTTTATCTCCTAACATTCTGAACTCCATTTGCTGTTAGAAAGGCAAGATATAAAATTAATACATGAATTAATAAAATTTTCTATTGCTGCAATATGCTCTACAAAGCTGTCCTTGAAACCACTTGGTAGCTTCAACTAGGTCAGAGTATAGTGGCATGGACAGTGACAGATACACCTCAGTGTGTTCACATGACAGTCTTGCTTTGCAAATCGCATCAGTAGCCAGTTTGCTGCTGGGGGCAATCCAAGGTGCTGTTATGATGTATAAAGCCCTACATAACGTCTAATTACTTGAGGGACTATTTATATCCTGTAGAGTCTGCCCAGCTAGTTCAAAGCAACAGGGTTTGGCATGCTCTAGGTTCCCTCAATCAAACAATGTCACCTACTGAGACCCAGAAAGCATGACTTCTCTGTTACAGCATCTGCCTTCTAGAATGAAAATCACTCTGAAATTCAGGTAGGACAGTGTTCTGAAGTGTCTGCTTTTCCTCCCAGACCCTGAGCAAGGTGAGCTGCAGCCTCTTGCTGGGTGTGTAATATATACTTCTGTATTGATAGCTTGATTTGTCATTTCATTAAATGCTTTCTACATAGATTATATACTTTGTGATTTGTTGCTATACTATTAGCTGCCTAGAGTTTGTCTGGAGTTGTCTAAACCAAATGAATGAATGAACAGATAAAATACAACAACTTACATTAACTATATCAAACAAAGATATATTAAAACACTTGGCAAAATGTCCTGAGAAGAAAGGAAATTGGATCTGATAATTTGGAGAAATACCTTCAAATATATGGAAATCATAATTTATCATACTGATAGATCTTGATAGAAATAAAGGGAAGAAAAAAATGGAAAAATAGTCCATTGGAATATGAAAATAAATCTTGCTAAATTTCTGTTACAAGTAATCCTTCACTTTGTAAAGTCTCTGAACAATTTGCTTAGCAACTATTCAAAGTTATGATGGTGCTGAAAAATGTTTAATCCTTATACTTATGACTGAGCCTCAAACTTACAACTGGAACTCCATGGAACCATGATCAAAATCTGAGTGCTTGGCAATCAGCATGCATTTATGTTGATTGTGGTGTCCCAGGGTCAGGTAACTGCCAGCTGACTTCAACAAAAAAAGTCAATGGGGAAGCTGAAGTTGCTTAATGACCATGTGATTCATTTAATAACTATAGCAAAAAAAGATCATAAAATCAGGCACAAACTCATTTAACAGTCACCCCTCTTAGCAATGGAAGTTCTGACCCCAATTGTAGTTGTAAGTTGAGGACTACCTGTTTCTGAAACAAAAGTGAACCAGGTTGCCTGAAACAGGCCAAAAAAGGATATTCTCTATTTTGCTCTGATGTAATGTCAAAAACCTATGCACAACTAAATGGAGATTTGTTTTCTGGATCAAGGCAAAACCAGAAGTGTTATCATCTGGCAGATGGTACAGGATAATAAAAACAAGGACAAATAGGCTGAAAAACAACTTCTATCCCAAGGCAGTAACTATATTGAATTCTACTTTATAGTGCAATGTTAATGAAATATCGAGTTTTCAATTCAGTTGTATAGAATATGCAGGATGTGTGTGTTTCATTTTTATAATTATAACGTACGCTGAAGATGGCATTTAATTTTGTTGTACAAGGTGCAATAACAATAATGTAAACTAAACTAAGTGGGAAGGATTGTTGTTTCCAATAGGAACATCTATCAAAACATTGGATTTGCTTAATGAAATGAGTAGAATAGATAACTCTGGAATGAGCAGAAGATATAGAGGACAATATGTTCCACAAAAGGACCCTACACTTAAAACGTTGTCTACCTAGCATGGTCTTGGTTTTAAAAAATAAATTATTGGTTTTTTTTCTAAGAGAGAGCATCTCTTGGCATTAATAGAGTTTTCATATCAAACCCAAGTTTCTATTTAAACTCAAAGCTGCTGTTTTGACAAAATCACAAGAGGATTTGGTCTCTACCATCTGGAACTTAAAAGGCAATCTCCATTTCTAGTACCTTTATATTGGGTGTGTACAAATTGCGTAGAGAAGCCAGTGCCATGGAAAGACCTTCTGAGCTATAAGAAATCCAAAGCCCTTGAAGAATTGAGGAAGAAACACCAACTTTTTTACTAAGCCCCTGAAAAAGATAAACAGTATATAAACTCAAAACATTTATTTTCATTTGTAATTAAACCTCATGAACAATTTAATCTCATATCTACTAGCAGTAATTTAAAGTTAAAACTAAATAATTTCTTTAAGACATTGCAAAAATACTGTAATAGATGGAATATTTTAAATGCTATGCTCAAAGAAAAAAAAAGCCAGAGTACTAATGATCATTTCTATTGTCACTTAGTAATTTTTCTTATACCTCTCTAATCCTGAATCAGATATGAAAATAATCAGACTGGTGTGACTGTTTAGCATTAGATCATCTGTCACTGAAATTAGGATTCTTATAGACACATTTTAATGTCAGTTTTAATGCTTCCATTTTTTAAAGATCTTGGGCTTTACTAAAAGCCTATAAAATTATTTCTGATCTACAAATTATATTTCAACCATGGAAAAATACTTTAATGAGGATTTATCAATTATAACACATTTTTAGAAGAGGATCTCCAATTCCCAAGTCAAAAACAGATTATTTTCAAGACTCTTATGAATCTTGCTCACCAGATTCACAAGAGAGAGGTAAGATAAAAATAATCATTCATACTGTCCTTTAGTATATTTATGTACTGTTCCATTTTCTACATTTTGGATGAGAAAGATTTAATAATGAATGAATTTGTGTCAATCAAAGATTTAGAATTATTTTTTGCTGTGTCTGATAACAACAGAAAAAATATGCAGGAACATTGTTAACTTTCCTCTTTTCTTGTTAGATGGTTTTGGTAGTGAGCTAATCTGAGAATGGAAACTTGATCTTCCTTGTTAACTGACTAAACTACAATATACAACTCAGAAGGTAAACATTATTTATGCTTTATTATAACAGCAATACACACCAATACACAGAATCCAGCAAAAATATGTTACCATTTTTTTCTGCTTACCTTAAAGATGTGTGCTTTGAGAATATGATGGCCCAATTCAATCGTCTGCTGCCTGTTGAGTTTTCCCTCTTGACGGGAAAACCAAAAGGCAAGTAAAGTATGACCACTCCTAGAGAGAGGGGGGGAGGGAGGGAGGGAGGGAGGGAGGAGGCAGAGAGGGAAGAGAGGGGAGAAGGAGAGAGAACAAACATAATGGGAAAAGGAACCCAAAGGTATAACTTCAACACATGTAATTAAATTTAACAGCAAGATCCTAGAAAAGTATTGATCTCATTTATACAATTTATTTATATGAGAAAGTTTTGCTATATACCATATTTTTAGGAATATAAGACACACCCAAGTTTTGAAGAAGCAAATTTTTAAAAAAGTAGCTAGGTAGATAAGAGAGGGAGAGAAATACAGTAGGTAGGTAGGGAGAGAGTATATGTAAGTAGGTAGGTAGAGGGATAGAGAGAGAGAAATAGAAATAGAAATATAGTAGATAGGTAGGGAGAGAGAGTAGGTAGGTACATAGATATGGGGGAGAAATACAGTAGATAAGTAGAGAGGGAGAAAGAGAGAGTAGGTAGGCAGGTAGATGTTTCCAGGTGTATTTATCCATGGGCTGGAGAAGGAAATCGTTGACAATTTGCAGCACCTAAGACTTTGTTTTTGCTGGCACAGCACTTGATCAATCTAATGCTCATCAATCGGTTAAAGAGCTTTCCAAAAGGGAGAAAAAAAGTTTTTGCACTCTGCAAACCTCCGCAAAATGGCCTATTTTTTGCAAAAACAGGCCCATTTTTTAAAAAAAAGGCATGAATAGCCTTGGGGGATTTGCAGAGTGCTCCTGAGGAGACCAAAAATGAGCAAAAAATGGCCCATTTTTCACAAAAACAGGGGCATTTTTGTCAAAAGAAAATTGCAGGCATAGCCTTATGGAGGCTTATAGAGTGTTGCTGGGGGGGCAAAAAACGGCTCGTTTTTTGCTCATTTCTGCCCTCCCCAGCCCCCAGGAGCTCTCTAAAAGCTTCCTAGAGGCTCTGGTGAAGGGAACGGGGCTTCGGGAGCCAAGAAATGTTGTATTCGGTGTATAAGACGCACCCAGATTTTCAACCTCTTTTTTGAGGGAAAAAGGTGTGTCTTATACTCTGAAAAATACGGTAAATTGAATTTCATTTAACTGAAATCAAATGCTATTCAACTTTTAATTTCATGAAAATTATCTCGTGTTAGACTGAATAAAATTACTGACATGTAAGTAGAGTTACATTTATAACATGAAAAATACATTTATCAAGTATGAGTTTTCAAATGTGATTTTCTTCTTGTAGAGCAGAATAATAATTTGTGTATATATACTTAATACTTAAATCCTATCAAAAGATTAATGAAGATTTTAGACCTTGCTACTAATGAATAGATTTTCACTTCTTTTGATTGATTATACTTCAGTGGTATTTCTCTCTCTGTATGTCTGTGCCTTCAAGTCAGCTGCTGACAAGTGCCTGAATAAGCCCTTGCAAGTTTTCTTCACAGCATTTTTGCAAATAGTTTGCTACTGCTTTCTTCCTAGGACTGAGAATGACTTGCCAGCTGGCAACATGCCTGAAGCAGGTCTAGAACTCACAGTCTCCTACTTAATAGCTGATTCCTTAACTACTACACCAAACGTATTCTCTTTTTCTCAGACATAAATTGAAAAAATGATAAGAATGGAGCAGGTAGCTTCTATGAAGCAAATTGCTTTCACTCTCATGAGTATTTCATAAACCCCATAATACAATTTAAACCACTGGAATATTGATGTATATATGTGTTTCTATACTGATATCATATTAATATCACCATCCATCTCACAAAAACATTACTCTGGGCATAATATTAAAATAAACTTTCTTTTATAAGAATGACTAGAAAAATGCCAAAATATGATGTTATGGTTCAAGCATTTTTAGATAATGAATGATACTTTATTGGCTGATTGAAGATATATGTTTTTCATATTGTTAAGGTAAACTTTAATGGCCCCACAAAAGATAATCTGGAAGCTATTTATAAATAATTTCCAAAATTATTTACTATTTTTTGAATAATGAATTCTTGATGGAGATATAAATGTTGTTATGAACTTTCAATTGGATAGTTACCCTCCTCCAAAATGTATTAATAATCAAATTTGAATAATAATGCAAAATTATCTGCAATAATTTAAATTGAAAGATAATTGAGGGTACATCATGCTTTAAAAAGATAAGATAGTTTTGTATCCTAGGCTCCAGGAACTATTTTTTAGATTGGATCCTTATAAAAATGTCTTGTTTGTTTGTTCTGATACACAAATGAATCCTTGTTAATTTCATATAATGTTTTGGTTACATTAACAGTTCATCTGAAAGAATCTGAGTTAACTAGTGATATTTTTAAAATCACTTAAAATCTTTCTAATGATAATTTTTCTGGAAATAGACTTCCAGGGATGATTTATGGCAATCTAATTGTGTTTGAGGTGAGGAACCAGTGTCATAACTGGAGTATGGCTAGTGACTAGTGGTAGATGCCTGAAATCTTCCTCCAAATGAAGGCAGAAGTTGAAATAGACTCATTTAATCTCCAGATAGCCACACCTCATGAGTAAACTGCAAAGGCAGAGTTAGTGTATAAATTAAGAAAAAAGAATGAAAAGAAGATGATTTTGAAACTTGAAGCAGGCGTTCTGTATTAGCAGACAATGGAGTTATACAAACAGTAAAATTCTAACTTGTACAAAGTACATGACATGCACCTGAAAATGATAGATGATTATTTTAAATTTAAACATTTAAAAAAATTACCAAGGTCTACAGAGAAGCAAACACAGATGTGAAGTCTCTTAAACATAAAAAAGATTCAATCAGGAAAAATATCTGGATCAGATGAATTACCAGGTTCTTATTACACATACTTAAATAGACTTTTAGAATCTCTCCAAAATAAAATGAATTGTGTCTTACAGGGAGGTAACATGCAAGAGTATAGGTATCAAGTTTACATATATTAATGCAGGTTTACATTGAACCACAGATCAATATCATTACTGATCAATGATTATAATTATTTACAATAATTTTAGCAGATAGATTGAAAATAATTTTACAAGAGCTTATTTATGAATTTTTGCATTAAAGGGAATTAAGAGACCATGTCAGAATTATATATGACACAGAATATTTGGAACAGGTTAACAAAAAACAGGAAGCATTAATTTTTTTTAGATGCAAAGTCTTTGGCAATTTAAATTGACCTTAAATTGACATTTTTGTTTAAAATTTTAGACGATATAAATTTTGGAGAGAATTTTATAAAATGGGTGAAACTGATGCATACACAGGGATAATAAATTATAGATAATGAAGATTTAACAAAACTTTGTGAGATACAAACAGGAACAAGACAAGGCTACCCATTATCTCGCATCCCCGCTCCCACTGTTTATTTTGTTTCTTGAAGTTTTGAATAGCAATATAAGGCAAGATGAGAGGATAATGATTGGAAAAAAGGACTAGACAAGTTCAAAGATTTGCAGACAATTTGGTACTGGAATATCCTTTAAACAGAATTGAAATATTAATGAGAAAATTAAAAGAATTTGGTGCACTAGCTGGTTTTAAGATAAATAAACAGACAAAAATATTAACAAAAATATAAAGACACAAGATCAAATAGAATTGATGAACAAAATGGGTTTCACGATTGAGAAAAAGGTAAATTTATTGGGTGTTAATTTGACAAATATGAACTTATGTAGTTTCAAACAAATAACTATGTTAAGACATAAAAAGAAATTAAAAGAGATATGTCAAGATGGGGAAAAATTACAATGATCATTGATGGAAAGAATTTCTGTGATTAAAATTTTATTTTTTGTTTCAGACAATACCGGTTTTGACAATTGAGATAAACAATGGAAGAAAGATATATCTAAATTTAGGTGCCCAGTAAAACAAAAAAACAGTGTTCCAAAGTGCTAGAGGAAGAAGCAGCTTAGGCCTACCTGATTTAAAATTGTACTTTGCAGATTGTTGTTTAATTTAGTTCAAAGAATGGTGGCACTGAGAAATTTTGGGTGGCATGGCTATTTGTGGTATTACAAAATCAAGCTTAGCATAATTTCAAAAATCAAGTTGTTAGATGCGCCATCTAAATGTGGGACAGATATAAATTTAAGTTGTTTCCAAAAGTACCTTCATGGCGGTCACCATAAGAAGCATTTTATAGAAGAGAAATGATAACTAAGCAAAATTGCTGATTTATTAGAATTTTTCCAAAGAAACATTAACACGAAATCAAGAGGATTTGCTATCAGAAGAATTCATATGTCAATAATTTTCCTATGTACAATTATTAGAAAGATTTAACATGAGATGGAAGGATTTTTGGTTTTGAATATGGTAAGACAGAATTTGAAACAGAATTATTTATATAATTCTAAAAAGTATAAATTCCTCCTACAAATTGAAATAGAACATGAACAATTGAAATAATGTATGGTGAACTGGGTTAAAAACCTGGGGTATAATATACACTACAAATGGAATAATGGAACAATATGTGAATTGAAATTCACATTGTGTTTTAATTCTAAAGATAATTTTTTTATAAAATAGTTTATCATTGGTATTTCTCACTGGAAAAATACCCAAAATATTGAAAGGTACCTTTAAGATGCAAGGAACTAAAATCACACAAATAGCTGAATAGAATGGTATGTTTACTGCTTTTTGTCTAAAGCACTTACAGTCTAATACAATATTAATGCACTCATTAGAGAAACTACTATATAAGCACTGCAAGATTAGGGTTTCTGCTTTCTGCTGCTGGCTCCTCCTCAGTGATTCCAAATTTTTTTTGGGGGGGGCAAATTTTTATCTTACAAATTCTAAATGAAAAATTAGATAAACAGTTTGATGAATTAGCAAGAGTTTTAAATCTGTCTAAAGAAGATACCCAGATTCAGGCAACAGCAATTCAATCGGCCATGCAACTGGGAGGCTCATTAGAAAAGGCTGAAGGCGGCATTAACTCAGCTACAACAGATGATAGGATGGATGAGTGATGATCTAAACCTTCTTAAGGATGATGATGGAATTTGTGGAATAGATTTATGACATGCAACCAGAAGACAACTGTTAAAGAGATATTGTGTTCCAATTTATAGGAAAATTTACTAAACAACAAGTGCTGTGGAGATATTCTCTATGGGGACCTATGATTTGGGGGAGTGACATGCACTTGTTTGGAAAGATCGCAGTTATAATTTTAAGGAAAAGTACAGATGATAAACTGGAAGGAATTACTTTATATTAAAAATCAATTGATGCTATTCTATCCTCGAGAGATCAGAAACCATGGTTATAGTGGATTCATGGGAGATTAGAAGCTGTTAGTGGACTTTTTGTTAGTTAAATTCAATAACTTATTTTTAAGAGACGGCTTTGAAGCTTAGCTTTGTTGTTGGGATTACCTGTTTTTCTTTTACAATAGATTTGTCAAATTGCTTGATTAATTTTCATCTGTGATATTTTTTAGTGTTACATTATTGATTTAACAAAAATATATGTAGAATCTTATAAATTGTAGATTCATTTTGCAAAGGGAGGAATTATTATTGTTGAGATTTATTTATTGTTATTCAACAATGGGGGACTGTGTGTGTGTGTGTGTGTGTGCGTGTGTGTGTGTGTGTGTGTGTCAACTTTACCATGAAATTCTTGGTTGCCTATCTTGCCATAGAAATTTCCATGTGGGACTATCAAACTGAATAATAGCTATTTGGAATCTATCTATCTATCTATCTATCTATCTATCTATCTATCTATCTATCTATCTATCTATCTATCTATCTATCT